AGATTAATGAAAAAAAAAAAACAGCTTCAAAAGGCCAGCTGTTTGATTTTATACCGAATTACATAAATGGAAAATAGAATCGTGATTTCTAGGAGTTAGCGATGGAGAAACAAGCATGCCGATAAAGAGGTAGTACAAGGGAGGTCTTCGTAATCCTCATAGTGATGGAATATTTCTTTATCCCTCCCCCCTTTTTAATAGAGACGAGATTTATCTGCATCTGCACACATATCTGTGTGTGAGCACTTCATGATGAGTGACTCCAGTTAGTTGTGTATCTTGATTGCAGTGGTAGTTCCCATGTGCAGTTTTGTATTTTGATATGTTCTGTAATTAGGTAAGGTCTAACCACCCAGGTAAACTGAGTGAAGAGTACATGATACGTCTGTGTATGATCTTTGCAACTTTCTGTGAATGTGCCATTAATTCAAAATACAAAGTTGTTTTAAAATCTGACCATGGTTTCTATTGTGAGAGCAGATGCAACAGGCCAAGGGCAGTAGTGGGGGCACTAATCAGGGGTAATGGTAGGAAGTGATTGCAGTCGTCCTGGTCAGTTACATTACAGACAAGGCAACGGAGGAATGGAGAATGGCTGATTTCTGGGCATGTTTTATAGGTAGACTTGATTGAGTTTGCTGAAGGATTGGGTGTTAATAGGTTTGCTAACAGATTGGAGATGGGATTAATAGAATTAGCTGATGGTATGAAGGAAAATGAAGAATGAAAGATGACACATGTTTTTTAGCCTTGTCAGCTGGAAGACTGAAGGAAAGAAATGGTGGCAAGAAGCAGCGGTGAGTCGGGAAGCCTGGTTTGAGGTAGTTGGATTCTTGACAAGGAAGACAAAATGACAAACCTTCTTCCTCTGGTCATTGGTAGCCTGGGCCTACAAGTAGAGGACAATAGGATATTAAAGCGAGTACACTCTTGTTAACTTGCTCACAGGCAGCTCAGTTATCTGGGCCTCACCCTGGCTTTTTGGAAAGAAGCATTTGTTTGATAAACAGGAAGTCGTTTCCATGGGTATAGGAAGAAGAAATGATAGAACTGAGTTGCAGAGCTAGCTGTGGTTAGCTTGGAATTGGCAGAAATTTTTTCAGGTAGCCACCTAAAATGAGCTAGCACACGGGCTGACTTTCCCTTTCAAGGCTGGGTTCATTCTTCATCATGAGAAATGCAAAATTTCTGCCTGCTGCTTGACCTGCCGACTGGTAGGTGCTTTCTCAGCTAGTGTTTTGCTTCAACCATGAGTTATAGACTTAGCAGACAAATGGAGGCACTGTCTGCTCAGAGTGGAAAAGTGACTTATTTTAAGAATTGCTGGCTCCCCACCACAATCCCATTAGTGGCATACCTTAGACACTGCAGTGAATCTGCTCTGGGGAAGCAAACACTGATTCATGTGTATTTTTACTCTTTGAAAGGTTAGATGCTAAATGTACACTAGATGGTTCTTCCTGAGTAAGATTAGGACAAAATTACGAATGTTGAATTCTCAAAGAAACTTTAAGTACTGGTGCTGTAATATTTTTGAAACATCAGAATTTAGCTCTCATTCTTCTCTTGGGGTATATGAGAATAAATCCATTAGGCTTACTAGCATCTTTTCGTTCATGAGGAAGGGCAGATAAAGGATGAAAATCTGATGCTGAGTCATTGTGATCATTGAAGAGTGACAAAGAGTGAAAAGGAGAACTATTTTTCTCTCTTTCGCCAACAGTCGTTCCCTGTCTAGTTCAGGTGGTGGCACAAGGCTACATTTTTGCTCATAAGAAAGGGCTTTGTATGGTGGATGTTATGCAGCAGGTTTGTCTCGATTTAGAGACAAGGGGAAATCTGGACTCTCCAGAGGATTGCGCCTGCGGAGTCAGGTGATTGGACTGAGGGTAGGTGTGCTATTTGTATTTATTTTAGGAGCTAGCTCACAGAATTTCCTCTAACCCAGCGGAACAACCCATTGGAGTTTCCTGCAACTGGAGTTTATCCTAACACAGTTTATAATATATTTTACTCTGGATATTGAGTGAATTCAGGTGCCATTTTCATTACAAAAGTATTTATTCAGTTGCTGCGGCTCTGTGTTATGTCCAGGCTGAGCTGCTGTTCGGGGTTTCCTCACCATAAGTTAAATATCACACTTGAGCTTGAAGAATTGTCACTGCCTACTTTTTGGAGCATATAAAGATAAAATGCAACCATTTTTCAGCAGCAACTGAAAACCACTGTAGGCTGCTGGCTTCCTGGCACACCCACTAAGCCACTGTAGCTTTATACTGAAAGTAAAGTAACTCTGGGAGGGGGCAGGAAGGGAAATAAAAGCTGAGGTTGAGATCTGATCGACTCACTGAGCCAGAGTGCATATGAGAACGCCTGAAGCCCAAGCTCAGTGGCTAGCAGAAAGGATAAAGTTTCAAGTGATTGTCCTTAACACTTTTTAAAGAGTTGTTTGTATTTTTAATATATATACGAAGTGTAGAGGGTACTGTAAGTGACTGGCGAAACTGTCAGTTTCAGCTGTTTTACTCAAAGTACTACCACAAATATCTTTGAGCCAGAACCATTAACAGTGGCACTTGTAAGGAATAGTCACCTTCAAGTAAACACTGCAGAATTGTGAAGAACTTTTCTATTAGTGGCATGCATAAATATTCTCTTTATTAAGGAACCTTTTCAGTGTCTTTGAAAGTTCGTTTCTGTGTGTAACTTAGCCAAAATATAAGTTCATTCCCAAATATACTATCCTTGTTTTGGCTGCAGCTTACAGAGTTTATTTCTATTTAGCAGATCAAGAGGTAGAGATAGAGGCAGTATAAATAATCTGTCCGGAGACAACCCATGTATCATGGTAAAGATAATACAGAACTAGGCTGCATTCCACCAGCTCCTGGCCTTGTCACAGTTTTGAGAACTTTCCAATCATTTTGGGAAAACAAGGTACTTAGAAATGTATAAAGAGCTTTTTTTTTAATAAAAGAAAATCACTTATTTTGGAAATCATGAAATTAATCATTCTGTCGTATTCAAGAAGCCCTTTGATGTGTTCTGGTAATTAGTATTTACCGCCAGATGAATGTCTCTTGGGCATTTTAATTAATGGGTGGCTTGGCCAAATGGGCTTCTCTGATGGTAAACCTTCATAAGGGTTTATTTTTATGTTTCTCAAGAATAGCTGTCTCTTCAAAGCTCTTTAATTAGACAAAGTTTAGCAAGTAAAACATATTATTAGAATAATGAGGTCCCTCTTTAAGTGAAATAGGATGTCAAAGGAACAGATAAGTTAGAGAATGGTCTGTTAAAATAAAACAGTGTTCTACATCTGATGGACATCCAGTTCCTTAACAGCTTGTGTTGAGTTACTACCCCTGGTTAAGGACGTTGTGTTGTTTAAAATTCACATGACAGATCTCACCAGAAGCCTAAACACACTTGAGTGTGAGCTCGTTTATCACTGCCTCCGAACTCCCGTAGAAAGCTGCGCTCGTGTTCTAGTCCTTTTAACTTCTAAGCTCAAGACTTCTCATTTTATTCTTTTTTTTTTCCCCATTAAATTGGTAATCTTGGCTGTATGTGATTGTTTTTGGAGAAAATGCTTCAAAGATACATGTCAAACACAATTATAACAATTCCTTTGAAGAGTCTTTCCTAATCATTTATATTATCTATCAGTAAGACATGTTCTTACAGTTGCTATAGAGTATACATCTCAGAATTTTATGATCTTTATGGTCAGAAAGCAATTTATTTCAAGATCTGCACGGATTGCATTGGGCTCCCTGTCTTTACCCTTCCCCCGTGCTCCGTGTCTTACCCCAGGTTCTCACTCTTGGCTGTCATTTCTAGTTGCAGTGTTTTATCTTAAACTTCCCTTTGATCATAGAGAAATATACCTGATTGAAGTATTACCAAACTGTGTGGGTACTGCCAGTGAAAGTACTATTGATAAATAAAGAATTCATTTAGCCATTGTATAAATCCATTTACTACTTTTTTTTTTTTGCTAGTTCAAGTTGCTTGTAATACCAAGTATGCCTTTTCCAAGCTGGAGCATATAAAGAAAACTGCCGTTGAGATGATCAGAAATTGTAAACGGTTTACTTTACTATCCCGCACACCATAAGATGTCATGCATGACTTATGTGTGTTATTGGTTTGGTCAGCTGGGTAAGAAAGATGATTGTCCCTGGTTCAGTGTAAACCTACTGCCATTATTGATTAGCACTTAAATAGCTTATTAGATTGATATCCTGTTTGGGTATCAGGAATGCTTGTTTTATAATGTTGTAGAGTTGATCATTTCTAATCCTTTTAAAAAAAGATTTATTTTTATTGCAAAGTCAGATATACAGAGAGGAAGAGCTTCCATCCAGTGATTCACTCCCCAAGCGGCCTCAATGGGCAGAGCTGCGCCAATCCAAAGCCAAGAGCCAAGAGCTTCTTCCATGTCATCCATGTGGATGCAGGGTCCCAAAGCTTTGAGCCATCCTCCACTGCATTCCCAGGCCACAAGGAGGGAGCTGGATGACTAGCGGGGCTGCAGAGATTAGAACCGGCGCCCATATGGGATTTTGGTGCTTGCAAGGCCAAGGACCTTAACCATTATGCTATCGCGCTAGACCCTATTTTTTTAAACACAAGAATATTTCTCTTACTTATCTTTATGCGTGTGTTTGCTTACGTGTATATAATCTTTTGCAATGGAATAGGCAAAGAAAAAATGATGAGTTAGTTATAAGCCCCAAGAAATGCCAATATGCAATTACCACTCTCCGGACTCCTTTTTTGGGGGTTATAATAGAGCAAGTGTATTGCTATGCATGTTTCTGCATAACAGGAGTTAGACTTAAAGTGGTTAAATGGTTTTGATACTTGTTACTAATGAATTTTTATAGTAGCACAACAGGTTAATGTGTGCTACTCTCCCTTCTAACTCCTTCATTCCCTTTGAAATAGCACCACTGTCTCAAATTGAGAACTGACTGTGCTCTTCCTCACCGCAGACCACCTGGTGGCCCATGGCAGAATGGCAGAAAAAGAGGCCCGGCGGAAGTTCAAGCAGATCGTGACAGCTGTCTACTTTTGTCACTGTCGGAATATTGTTCATCGTGATTTAAAAGCTGAAAATTTACTTCTGGATGCTAATCTAAATATCAAAATAGCAGGTGAGAACTATGATAAGGCTATGAAGTCATGACAAAGGAGCTATTCTTTTGGGTATTTAAAGTCAACATATTATTCCCATTTGTTCAAAAAAAAAAAAAGGAAAAAGGAAAAGTATTTGGAATGTTTTTTTTTAAACAAAGCCTGAAAATGGATAAACTTTGGAAATGCATCTTGAAAACTGTAGTATCAGCTAGTACTAAGCCAGGGATGAAAGGAAAACTTGATACTTAAGATCTTATTTATAATATTATAGGTTCTTTGTAAATAAAAGAAATAAGTTATGGAATAAAATAGGCAAGAGAACTGCTACAACTGCATGCATCCCCTCAGCTTCCGCTGGGACAGTTGACTTTTGTTCCTGTTGGCATCCAGCATGCTGGTTCTCCTGGCTGTAGTTTTATGATAATTTTCTAAGAATAGATCTTACAGTGGCTTACGGGCAGGCCAGCGTTTTTATTTTTGTTTTCAAATTTAATATTTTATTAAAAGCTGTTTCATCTCTAAAATGATGTGGATTTTGGACCTCTGAAGGCTTCTCTGAGTTTTTTTTTTTCTTTTACATAAATAAAGGAGGAATCTTCAGAAAGCCCATGAAATGGTATACTATGAACAAACTATGAATGAATTCCTGTTATTTTGTATGTGAAAATAAACTCATCTCTTACTTTCACTTTTACATATCCAGTCATATGTGTCTATATTTTGTAAGTATATGATGATAGGTAATTTTATTTTTTTTTTTTTTTTTTTTTTTTTGTGTGGAATGATTATTTCTTTCATTTTCTAAAGATTTATTTATTTTTATTGCAAAGTTAGATATATTAGAGGAGGAGAGACAGAGAGAAAGATCTTCCATCTGATAATTCACTCCCCAAGTGACCACAACAGCCAGAGCTGTGCCTAGATGATAGGTAATTTTAACACAGTTTTTTTCCACCCGTTTTATCTCCTCCAATTTTAGCAGTCCACTCATCTAACAGTATTTAAATGCTGCTTTTCATTGCATCAGTGTGCTTATGCTTCAGTTTGCCTAATAAACATAAGCTTACCACCTGTAGATATAAGAAAATGACTGTAGTCTGTTTAGAAATGATAAATGTGAAAATAAGTATTTCTGCTTTATGGCAGTTTCCAGTATTGCACTGTGTGTGTGCTGCCTCCCAGATAAAGAAGAAGGTTTCTTATTCAGAAAGTTGAAGTACAGCCTGAATGTGATGTCCTCAGAAAGCTAAGGTGGAGAGCAGGTGTTTAAAGTCCCCTTCTTAGTAGCACAGAGTTCAGTTTTATAATCGCATAATGGATTAAAGTACCTAACTGTGCCTGTGCAGGCTGGTGATCCTTCCAACCGTTTATTTTGTGGCGATAAGCCGCCTGTTCACTTTTTACATCCTTGGAACATCACCTAGCTTTTTATCTCAGTTGGGCTCATCACTGTTCAGAACTTTCACACAGTTTGTAAACGCTTGAATGTACCATTAGCTTACTCCATAGAAGACAAGAATTAAAAGCTTTCTTTGTTTTACATATAATAGTATTTTTCCTTTACCCTTACAACTGTTTTATTTTCTCCAAATCTGCCTGCATGTTGGTAGTTTCCACAGAGGTGGGTGGCATGGAAAGATCTACCAATTTTTAAACTTCATTTATAATTATTTATTGCTACTGCAATTAAATTGATAGTAATAATACTTACTAAACTTCATAATTCTGAAGAATGTAATAAAATATGTGTATTTCTTATTGCTGGAACAAGTTGCCAGAAAAGTAGAGGCATAAAGCAACGCAAAATTTTCACTTGGAATTCTAGAGGTTGGATATCTGAAATAAATGTTACAAGGCTAAAATCAAGATGTTAGTAGGACTGGTTCTTTCTAAAGGTTCTGAGGGGAAGGTCCGTTTCCTTAGCACTTTCACCTGGAAGAGGCCATTTGCTCACATCCCTCAACTCCTTGTTTCAAGTGTCATATCTACCCTTCAGCCCTGTTTTCTTCTTAGAACTCTTAGACTCGAAAGCTGGAATCTCTCAGATCCTCCAACATAGTGTCATTGTCAAACTTTTTTATTTAACCATCTCTGCTGAAGTTTCCTTTACTTATAAAAGGCAGTTCATTCACCAATGTGAGAAGATGAGGGCACAAATCTATTTGGGGGTCCAGTATTTAGCCTACCACCAATGGTATTGTAAGGAATCTTTGGGTTATCAGAGTAGTGAGTTAAAAGAAGGCACTGTTTGTATTCCAGAGTTTTCTTCTACTTCCACTGATCCAAGATGCAACATTTTATAATGTTTCCTTGATTCTGGATTTTTAAATTCGAGACCATTGGGGTTCAGTTAAGAAAGTGTTTCTGTCCCTTAGTTTTTGCACTGAGAAATCAAGAGTGAAAACAGAGCACTGAGAATTGAAATGGGAGACACTTAAGAAATATCTGAGTAAGGAAATTTTTCAGTTCTTTCCTTGGGTAATATTTAGAAGAAGTCCAGATAATCACACCAAGGGTCTCTTCGTTCTGGTAGGTAATTTCAGGCTCCTGGAGGAGCTGGTTTTCACCCTTGGCTCTCTGTGTGTGCACACATATACTGTGGCTAGATATTTAAGGTCATTATCCTAAAGTTTGGAGGTGTGTGTGTGTTTAAATTCACCAAGCATTTTTTTTACTAGGGATCACTTAATTCCATCATAATTGGCATATAGATACGACTTATCAGGAAATGATTAAATCCTTTCTTCTATCTTTGGAACATGTAAATTTCCAACTTTTTTGTTTGTTTTGTCTTAAGATTTAATTTTAATTTGAAGGCAGTGTTACAGAGAGAAGGAAAGACTGAAAACAATGTTTCACATCCACTGGTTCATTCCCCAGTTGGCAGCACTGACCAAAGCTGAGCCGACCCGAAGGCAGGGGCCCAAGAACATGAGCCATCCTCTGCTGCTCTCTCAGGCAATAAGCAAGGAACAGGATCTGAAGTGGAGCAGCCAGGGCACAAACTGACACCTGTTTGTGATGCTGGTGCCACAAGTGCCCTGTTAAGCAATGGTGCCAGCCCCAGTTTTCAATCTTTTCAAGAGTACCTAAGTGGACTTTTTTCATGTAGAGAATCCCAAAGCCAGAAAACAACAGAATTCTTAGCTTCTAACTTTCACTTTTATGCCTTCCATTTTGCCCCATTTAGGGGCAGATGCAGGACTAGGGAGGCATGGCATGGCTCCCTCCGCAGACAGGCAGCCTGCTGCAGAGCTACCGAGTCAGTTTCATGTAATAGGAAAGATATTACAAGGTACATCATCATTCATCATCATGTTATTGCACATTTTGACTGCCATTGGAGTTCAGAGGATGGAGAAATCATTTTATTCTGTACAATTCTATTAGATTGTAAATTTTGTAGTCTGCATTCTATCCTGGTGGTTTTTACACTGACTAGCACATACTTGTTCTGTAGTAGATACTGTATAACTTTATTAGCTGGAACTTTAGGCAGTGCTGATGAAAATATTAGTATCCTATTGAGAATATAACTTTTGAGGTGAGTCTTAAAATAGAATCACTAAGTATGCAAGGGAGAATTGCAGTCAGCAAATATTGATATAAAACACCTGCTATGTGTGCAGACACTGGACACTGATCTAGTATTATGAATATCACAACCAATAAAATAGTTCCTCGGTGCTAACATTCTGATGGGGGAGGAGGAGGGAAAATGGATAGCAGACAAATAAACTTTCATAATAAGCACTATGAAAAAATTAAATCAAGAGATGTGATAGAATAACTTGTGGTTGGGATACTGCTTTTAACCAGGAGAGTCGACCTTCACAGACAGGAAGAAGAGCAAGGCAGAGGTATGATAGATAAGGTTCTAGCACATAAAGACTCTTGTATAGCTGAGAGATAGGAGAAGGATCAGTATGACCAGAGATAACCGACCAGAGGGGAAATGGAAGGCGTTGGAGTGAGCTGGAGGGCAAGGACTAGTTGTACTTGGTGAGACTTTGAGATTTTATTTTGGTTCCAATGGGAAGCCAGACTGGGGAAGCATGAGTGGCAGTGGAAGACATGTGATATATTTGGGGAGGGAAAAAAAGATGAAATTGACTGGAGGGAAGACTCTAATACATGGATTAATAAATCAGATTCAGGACAGATAGGAAGGAAAAGGAACATGAACATAACAGGAAGACCTAGACGTGGGAAGGAAGAAACTGGTGACAAATGCAAGAGAAGTTTTAAGACCAGATAACCAGTTAGCCCTCTGGGCCCGCAGAAGGAAGCTTTCAGAGCATTTAAAACTAGAGAAATCAGATCTTCTTATTGATGAGCTATATTAAGTTATACTGTCTTATTTTTAAGTGGTTGATGTGTTGCTGTTAAGAAATAATTTTAGTTCTTATCCCCAAAGATTAAGCACAGACCTTTCTGCATTTAAAAAGATTGCCCAAGGAAAAAGCATGTAGCTGGCTTACTCCCTGAAAGAAAAGTTCTTTCAAATACTGAGAAGTTATGAGAATGTTTTAAAAATTGTGGAAACTTTTTTTAACCTAAGGAAGTTGGAAACTTTTCTCTTTAAATGTCGACTCCCAGAATGGTCTCCATGAGATAGTTTCCACTCCTGTGTTATTGTTTTAGTTGGCAGTGCATGGACAGTAAAGATCTGAAGTGCAACTACAGAAAAGCCAACATTTTGGAAAGAGTTTTGGAGTGCATAGATTTAAGGTACTATGGAAAATTTTGACCTTAATGCAGTGAGAACTAGGCTATTTCATTTTTGTTAAAGTAAATAATCAAAACGTTTTCCTAAGCCATTGACCTGTTATACTCATTATAAATATGTTAAGATACTATCATGTAAGGCAAAAAAAAAAAAAAGAAGGAATGTTGGAAACCTTTATTTCTGAGACTCCTCCTACAATATGGTAGTTGAGAATATTCATGACTGGTTGCAGGAAAGTAGTTATGCAAAATTCACTAAAATTGTTTTAATATTTATTTTGATTGGAAA